GTCCGGTACGTACTCCGTACCGAACTAAGTAACGGAACGGAAACGAAACTAATACTACTTTACGTTAGTAGTAAGGTAAGGTTACGGTTACGTACTAATAAGTTCCTTTCCTACACCTACCCTCCTCTCTCTCTCTCTCTCTCTCTCTCTATCCGGTGATTATGGCCGTAAACCCTGCTACAATGTCATCTGGTCTTAATAGTGTGTATTAGCCCTTCATAACAGATGATTCATAGTAGACGGTACTCATATCTATGCCATACACTCACTCTTTCATGATACACACAGATGTTCCATAGTAAAGTCCACTCAAATGCGTATTCCAATTGTTTTATAGTAAAGAGTATACGCATATGTATGACACTCACCCATTCGTTCATACTCATCTGTATGACACACCCATTCGTTCATACTCACCTGTATGACACACCCATTCGTTCATACTCATTTGTATTACACACACCCATTCGTTCATACTCACCTGTATGTGACACACCCATTCGTTCATACTCATCTGTATGTCACACACCCATTCGTTCATACTCATATGTATGTCACACACCCATTTGTTCATACTCATCTGTATGACACACCCACTCGTTCATATTCATCTGTATGGCACACCCATTCGTTCATACTCATCTGTATGACACACCCATTCGTTCATACTCATCTGTATGGCACACCCATTCGTTCATACTCATCTGTATGACACACCCATTCGTTCATACTCATCTGTATGTCCCTCACTCACTCGCTGTAGTTGGTCGCGGATGAAGGCGTGCTGCGCCCCCAAAGACGACGACCAGGATGAGTTTTACGAAGAGATATTCGACCGCATGCACCAGTTTCTACTACAGAGCATGAGGGTACGTGTAGTGTAACATGTGAGCTGGGGTTAGTGTGAGGGTAATAGTAGTGTGACATGTGAGTTAGGTTTGAGTGGGGTGTAGTACTCACCCATGACCACGCAGGAAGGTTAGTAGTAGTGGATGGTATGTAGAAGCAATTTATGCTTTGTCATTGAAGGCGAGGAGAGTGGAGGCACTGAGTTAGGGACGGTTGTCTTTATGTACAAGCGCTGTTGTAGTGTGATGCTGACGTTGTATGATGTAGTTGCCCCTATGACGGGTGTCTGATATATACTGCAGCGTATATGGAGCACTCGTGCGCATAGATATACATACCCACACATTGCGCTTATGTATAGACGCGGAACCGTTTGACACATGTGAGTACACGCACCAAATACAGTACCCGCATGCGAATGCCTACGAGATGGATATTGTAAATACGTATATTGTGAATACGTATCTTTTAAATACGTGCATTATGAATACGCATTTTGGTAATACGTACATTGCAAGTACGTATCTTTTAAATACGTATATTGTAAATACGTATAGGGTAAACACGTAGAACAAACCCCACAGCTGTCCGAGCATGCACAGGTACTCATCACAGGCCTCCCAGTTAGGCGCACAGATGTACTGGTTCACCTTACTCTGCATTTTGAATTAGGATGAATTCGATCTGATTGTGGAAGAAACGGGGGGGAAAGCCAAATTAAACAACCTCGAGGTGTTGATAGACGATGCGAAGGCCAGAGATCAAGACGCCACCACCCCGAAAGCGAAGAGGAGGTACTGTGCTGCCATATGTGTGTGTGCGTGTGCGTGTGCGTGTGCGTGTGCGTGTGCTTGTCATTGTGCATGTGTTTGTACTTGATTCAGACAATTGTACATAATCATACAGTTCGTTTGCGCACATAAGAGGACTTTCTTTGTGAGTGAGTGTGATCTGCCTATGTTGAGTCCGTTGCATACCACCATTCACCTCCTAACACCCTTGACTACACACTATCGCTATAGGCGGCAAGTGCCTGACGCAGAAACGATCATCCGGTCACATATGATCCCAGTTAAACTGAGCCAGATAGAAACACTGAAGAGTGAGCTGGCTGAGGTGTGGATGTCGTGTGTTCGTACTGAGTACGTTTAGTGTAGGCGGGGCAATTGCAGTTGGGCGGTGTAGCGGTTTTATCGACTCGGATTCTCTCGAGTGCACTGGTCGGTGTGTTTTGAATTGTAAGGTGTGCTTGTTTGTTTGAAGGTGCTTTTAACTTGTAGTGAGTCTCATGTACTGTCCGTGTGTATGTTTTGAATTGTAAGGTGTGCTTGTGTGTTTGAAGGCGCTTTTAACTTGTAGTCAGTCTCATGTACTGTCCGTGTATATGTTTTGAATTGTAAGGTGTGCTTGTTTGTTTGAAGGTGCTTTTCACTTGTAGTCAGTCTTATGTACTGTCTGTGTGTGTGTTTTGAATTGTAAGGTGTGCTTGTTTGTTTGAAGGTGCTTTAACCTTGTAGTTAGTCTCATGTACTGTCCGTGTGTAAGTTTTGGATTGTAAGGTGTGCTTGTTTGTTTAAAGGTGCTTTCAACTTGTAGTCAGTCTCATGTACTGTCTGTGTGTGTGTGTTTTAAATTGTATAGTGTGTTTGTTTATTTGAAGTTCCTTCTAACTTTAAGCAGTGTCCGAGTGTGTGTGTAGTATCTGCGTCATTCTGTGTATCACTGCCTTACTCTCCGCTCGAAATGGCGTCATGCATGTACCAATACTTACTATGACATGACATTCTTCGTTTCTTGTACCCACCCCTACTATGACATACCCTGTGCAGCTCCGCGAAGCCACAGCCAAGCAAGAGAAGGCGATTGAGCTGGAGAAACAAACGGTTCAGGCCCTATTCCGAGATGTCGAGACCAAGTCCGAATCGCTCACCAGGGTATGCCGACCCACCCCCACGCCCAAAAGGGAGCGCATGTATACGTGGGTGTGGACAGGCCTACAAAAGGGCCTAAATGCGCACATTGAGCCGCACATGCTGTTCCAATGAGACGCACTGCAATGCCTCGCAGAGACGTCGACTCGTGTGTAACGGCGTGTGGCCTATACTTGCTCGAGTTGGCATGGCAACGTGCGACTGAGTGGTCGTGTTGTCTTGTTGCCGATACTTCCTGTGTCCATATCCACGAGTGTGTGTGTGTGGCTGTGTGCTTTGCGGATGTGGTGGTGTGTCAATAGGTGTGTATGGGTGGCGTGTGTGGCGTATGCGCAGTGAGTCTTCTCTCAGTGCCGTTTGAATGTGTTGTGGTGATTTCATGATTGCATTATAGGCCACTATTTGCCTCTACTTCATCTCGGCCGTGGCATGTCTTTCTCACCGCAGGTCATATAGCCGAATAGTGCGTGCTTGTATGTGTGTATGTCTGTGCGTTTATGTGTGTGCGTGTGTGTGGTGCGTATGCGTGTTTGTCTGTATGTGTTGTGTGTGTGTATGTGGTTTTTGTGCGTGCGTGTGTGTTGTGTGTGTGTGAGTCTGTATGTGGTGTTTCGTGCGTGTGTGTGTGTTGTGTGTATATTTGTGTAGTGTGCGTGTATGCCTGTATGTGTGTATGCCTTTATGTATGTGTAGGTGTGGGTGTGCATGTACATCGCTTCGTGCAATTTGATACGAGAGTGCGTGCGTGTACCAGTATACCGTTATTCGTCATCGTTGTCGTGCTGCTGTGAGTTGGGTGTGTGTGCCTACACGTCCTTGTGTGTGCTGTTGCTCGCGCGGAGTGCTTATGATGCAAACCATGTCTGCTGGCTCGTGAGTGTCGATTGATAAAAGCCTGGCACTAGTGCCGTATGTGCCATTCGGTTGGTTGGTCAAATACCATCTCGTGTAGAATTGGCAGGTATTTCGTTGCGTACTTAGTTAGTATATATAATATATATATATATATATATATATATATACATGTACGCCTAGCACTCTGCTATGAACTGTAAGCACACTGACTGCTGTGCCGCGTGATACTTTCATTTCATTCGCAGGCGGTCGAGTCGTGCGAAGGCATCGAGCAAGACGCAATACAAGACACCATCAGGCAACTGCGCACGTTATAGTACTACGATGGTAGCGTTAAAATTACCGCGACAATAGGCCCTGTTCGGTACCACAATGGTACGGTTTGCATATGAACAGATAGATGCTCTCAACCCGCTGGCTGAGGGGTCTAGGGTGTACTATTGCTTAGGGGTGGTGATGATGGTGAACAGTTGGCAGTCAACCGGGTGTCCATGCTGTCTGCGTTGTGATACTGGGCAGAGTGCATAATGAGTCATGACATTAATTCAATCACTAATCCGCGAGGGACATTCCGAAGGCTTCCTGCTACAACGCATGGCAGGCAAGGGTCGCCTGTCGCAACTCTACACTGTCTATAAATCGCCTAATTGACGGTCACTGGCTTTAGCTTTAGAGCCCTGTCTACCCGAAGTAGGCCACTTGAGGCGTCAGTCCTCTGGCGCTACCGCGGGGGCCACAACAACAGGCTCAACGGGGCAAGAATAGGCCAAGACACTGCATACCTTCGGATAGGCACTATATACAGCTGCCCTTAGAGTGTCACCGTATGACCCTATGCGATGCCGCTGATTCAGGCAATGGTCCCCCCTCCCAAAAAAAAATATGTTGCAGATGGGACTTTTAGTCCGTGGTTGTGTTCTTCGAGCTTCCTCTCAACCACACCGCCTAGTACAAGCACTTGCATTGCCAGAGGCCAATACTGTTGGGGCTGTAGAATATCAGCTCATGCTTCTGGAAATCGAATCGAGGTCTGAAGGTCAGGTCATCTGTACGCCGGTGCGGCGTACGGGTAACCATAGCACCCGTTGGACTTACCTACCTACCTCCCTATGATATGTTTTCCGAGGGGTATGGAACACGAACCAACAACCATGAGGAGACTGACCACGAAATGATTATGCAGACTCGGCATATGAGGCAAACAACAGAGCAGCCAAGCGAGCACAAACATGGGTAGGTAGGTAGAAAACATTCGGGTTACTTAGAGGGAGCAATAGGTAGATAAAACACACTGGGACGACTTGGAGGGAAGCATGGGCTCTTCTTCTCGGCGATTGGGGTGAGTGTTATTTTTCTTGCTCCGTCTCCTGTGGGTCTGGTGTCTCAATCCCCTGGGCCAGGGTCGACTCATTCAATCGACTCGTCCAGTTGGTAGACTCGGCTGGTGTTCGTGGAGGTAGGCATAGATAGGTAGACGACACCTGAGTTGCTTAGAGATAGGCATGGACGGGTAGACACAGCTGGCGTTCGTGGAGGTAGGCATAGGTAGGTAGACGATACCTGAGTTGCTTAGAGGGAGGCATAGGCAGATAGACTCAGCTGGTGTTCGTGGAGGCAGACGATGGCTCAGGAGGGCACATGCACCTGCCGACATGATATGTAGACGCTGTTGTGGTTGATGCATCAGAGATTAGATCATAAGGTGCTGTGAGGTTTTGAGGTGAACGATCGAGAATTGGAAACAAGCGTACCGATGGCCGTTCATGTATGTCTACGCAATGGTGTTTGTGTTCTGCTTGCACGCGTATACATCTATAGAGAGCGGTAAGTCTACGCCTAGTGTGTTGTTTAAAGGTGTTTCATGCGTTTCTCGTCATACTATGTCAGCTGAGGACTCGCTCGAGTGAACAACTCTTATGCACATCACACCTGCACACACTAGTAGCAGCCTTCGGCGGCCAATTCGAATCAAAGTCCGAGGCATGTTAGGCTTAGTCTGAGCTTGGAGAAGCCCACTCCGCAGACACCACGAACGATACTAGCGAACTGTGTCATCACTTGACCTGCGCACAGACCAATGAAAAATCTTAGCTATAAATAGAATCGCACATTTACGGGTAGACGCGACAATCGGCATTCATAATGCCCGACCAGCCCAGCCAGGTCAACCAACTACTAGTGTAAGTGATCCATCGAGAGAAGACAAACAACACCCTTCATCTGCACTCCAAAGCACACCTTGCAGATGGACTTAGCAACTCTGCATGCCGCATAACGTATTGGCGCGGTGAGAGATTACACCCAGGGGGGGGTGCTTAATAATAACTCAACTGGTAGGCTGCCAAGGATGTTTTCCTATGTGCTCAGCTCCTCCCCCTCCCCCCCCCTGCCCCATCTCAGTGGTTCCACTCAACTCAGTCTGACGTGTAGGTAGAACAGTGGGCTTGGTAGGTAAAGCGCACTGATACTGTGGTGTTGCGTGGCCAAAGGGTTTTTGAAGAACATACATTGGAGATCTCAAGGGCTGGTTTTGTCCGGGACGTTATATGAGGTCAGCGTACCTTGATGGAAGATGACGGCGTATTCAGATCGTATACGTCTCTGCACTCAGATCGTACCTGCGTCTCGTTGTTTGGAGACACCCAATAAAGAATTCATAATATATACACATATATATATATCTATATAGTGAAGGACATTTTGAAATATAAGAAAATGTGACATCCAAATAAAGAATTTATA